CTACTACCGCTCCTGCTCCTGCTCCTGCTCCTGCTCCTGCTCCTGCTCCTGCTACTGCTACTGCTACTGCTACTGCTACTGCTACTGCTACTGCTACTGCTACTGCTACGCTGCTTCTACTACTACTGCAAAGACTGATTCTGCATGTGCTAAGTTGTTGCCGTGGTACAACCTGACTCTGAAGCATGGAATATGGGTCAAAGAGTTTCCTGAGTCCTGCACTCGCCCACTTGGTGGCCCTTTTGTGCACTCCTGCAAGGCTGCAAAGATGTCTAATTCTGCCGCTTCGCTTCAACCTCCGGAGCTCACATGCCCTCCTCAGGAACAGTTCCAAACCTTGCTCCGGCTGGCGCAAGTTCCATGCCTGCAAGCCCGGCACGACAGACGATCAGGATACAGAGTGCAAGTCTTGTGGACAGCTAGACCGGTGCGCTCGAAGAGCCCATGCCGTTCGACAGCCAGAGGCCGGATAGAGACGGAGCAGGGCGGGCTCGCAGCGAAGTCCAAACAGTAACTCAGCAAGCCACCACAAGTGGTGAAGACGACGTCACGCTGAGAGAAAGTCTTGAGAAAGGCTTGTAAGAGGCGAAACGGGGGACAGCTGCAGCTAGTCACAGATGGGTGTCTTACGGCCGCGACAGATCCTGCAGCGAAGCCCTGACAAAACTGGCGAAGTCGGACGACCGGCGGAGCATGGAGTGATGGCCAACAAAGGGAGGGCTACGACTGTGGATTCGAACCTGGTCACAGCCACAGCATGTCACAGCCCTCGCCATGCGTCTTGCTTGGCATACTTGCATTGTGCTGTGGAAGTTTGTGAAGTTTGGCCTGCACGCCCAGCTCGTATTCTGCTCGAGCAGCGTGCTCCAAGCCGGCGTCCAAGCCAGGCAAAGACTGCCAAGGGACCTCCAAAGAGAAAGAACGCGCTGTATGGCGACTAGTGACGAGTGTGAGTCTGACACAATCTTATGCCTGCGCTGCCAGATGCACGAAAGATGCGCCGACAGCTGGCAAGTAAGTGAAGGCCTGGCATGAGCAAGCAGGTGTAAGCCTAAAGTTTCGTCCAAGTGGTCGGAGGCACCCGGAGAATCATAATCCATGGCATCCATGGCATTCATGGGAGCCAAGAGCCGGCTTCGCTCGGTGACTCATTTCTGCAACCAAGCTCTCACAGCTGCTTCGAACGGAATGCGCTGCCCTGTCCTGTGTGCTATGATCAGCAGTCCTTTGTGTCAAACAAGCACCAACTAAGCTTAAGATGGCTTCGGAGATCCACTGCGCAGTGCCGTCCAGTCTTGTCAAGTCTTCTGCAGAGCGCTCAATCTGGAGCCCATGCTGCAGGAAGTGTCGCAGGATATCATCTGGGTGCTCGCCCGTACCAGGTAACGCCAGGCAGCTCGACCTCTTCCACTCGGCATGGTGGAGAGAAACGTGACAAGCTACACGGAACAATTGCAGGGCTGTAGCTCGAAGCAAGAAATTCGGATCCGACCATGCGGAAGAGACCAGCTCATTCAAACAATGACTCGTCGACCATACTTGGAATCCGATCGCACGGCAGCATCCCACATGCCCCTCCCATAAAGCTTAAATGCACCGTCAGCCGTGTCACCCACCGCAGCTCCCAGTCGATCTTCTGGTCGGCTCGCCGACCTATCTCCCTATGATGCCAGCGCATGCCAGCCATCCAAGCCACCACACGGCCCGACCCCAACAACCGACAACAGCCTGTGAGCATGCGGCAGCGTGCATACGAACACACTGAGATTGCCAAAGGTGTGCTACATGTGCATCTTTCAGCAGAGTCTTACCCCCAAGCTTCCTGAGTCAGGCCTTCGCAGAAGTGTGCACTCCCCTGCGGACACTGGGACTTTACGCTTGGCAAACGATAGATGGAAAATTCAGCCGTCTAGCAGGACGACACGCCCAAACATACACCATGAACAGCGAAACGGAAGGTGTTGCAAGAAAAAAGCAGTACTTTCAGGTATGCGAACCCATGAGCATATTATTACATTCGACAGACAGGCATCGAATCGTGTCTTTGAGCCACAGGCCCCCTTCTGACAGGGTAATCGTAAACTCTGAGCTGTGCACCGAAGTTCCTCCACAATCATATTCCGCAATCATGACAGAGCATGGATCGAAGTCTCCAGCAGCGCGTACGACGTACATGTAAGTTGGTCACCCCCACACTGCATACAAAGACACACACGCGCACACACACACACACAAACACTCTCACAAACGCACACGGCATGAAGAGCATCCCATCACGGCCGCCCTCACACAATCCCAGCAACCACGATGGGGAGATACTGCCCAGCAACCCGAGCAACGCTGGCAAACCCGGGCCCTGACTGTCTCTGCTCCTTCGCCATGTCGTGGGCTTCGGCTCAGTCCAGTCAACAGAGAGGTTTTGCGAGCCGTCTGCTGCTGGTATACAGATGTGAAGCCGTGACTAATACGGTTGCCCCACAATGGCTGATGGTCTTTTGGTCAGTCTGCGTGCGGTGAGTCTGCAGAAGGTCCCTTCCTAGGTGCACAACACGGGATGCCATGGAACGTGGAGACAACACGAGTTCTTGGTCCTTTCAGCTGAGCTGCAGCCAATAACTGAGACCGAAGACCGCCAGAGAGCAGAGGGACGACAACAGAAAGACCTGATTCGTGGACCGTGCTCAATTAGTTGGGGGTTTGTCAATTTCTAGCCCTGTATTTTGGGCGCACATAATCAAAGTGAAGGTGGACGTAAGACAGGTCCACCTGGGCTTGAAGGGAAACTGTGCAAACCGTCCCTGCAACTACATGGCCTCTGTAAGTTCTACACTTCCCCCACCATCATTAGCAGATCTGCACGATCGCGCTTGGGGACGAACCTGGTCTCACAGGACAGATGTGCCCGACACGCACTGCAAACTGCCCTGTTGTGCAACATGCTCCGAAATCGGAGACCTGCCTCAGGGTGAGAATGACGCAAGCTGCAAAGTACATGGCCATGACCTACTTCGTCGGGCTTCGTTTCCATACATGCAACTGCAAATAGTTGGAGAAGACTGGATCGCTCCTCAGACAATAGCAGCGCGAGTGAGTTTGATGTCACAGATGTAGACACCTGATTGCACACATAAATTTGCGCACTACCCATTACTCCAGAAGTGGTTCAGAGGGTTGACGCACAGATCCAACTGCCGGCCTGTTTAGCGAGTTCTCTAAGACCAGTGTACGAGACATGGATCTTCAGACCATGTTCGCAAGCTGTCGTGGCGGCCTATATCGCCCATACCACAGCATTCATCCGACCATCACCATGACGGTGGGTGGGAGCAAGAAGATGCATTTCTGACACCACTACCACCGCTTCTCAGCTGACTGCTTGCAAGCCCCATTTGCTGTTATGCCCCTTATTATCACCGCCACCATTGTGAACATCGCCATCATTCCGGCCCTGCCGTCATTTTCATCATCACCGTCACCGTCATTATCATTAGCATCAACGTCATCATCACCATCACCATCATCATCCTCGTCGTCTCATTATGCTGCATGTGTCATGTTTTGTATCGTCTTATACTGCTTATACTTCATCATGGTCGAAAGTATCGCCATCATCAAACTCGTCATTCATCGAGCAAATAATCATCATTAATCATCCTCACCAAAATCGCCACCACCATCAGCACCGGCAAAAAACATCAAGACCACCGCCATTACATGCACGTTCGCCATCGCCAACAGAAACTACCACCATCGAGACTCTGGCGATCATGTTCATTATGCTACTGACGACGATGACCATCATGCCATGCTTTGCGTGTCATCCCAATCGACAAACTGCTGCAAGCCACATGACGGTCACCCCACCCAAGGTCAAGTCCACTTGCACACGCTCTTTTTACCGGAACGTGTCATGCCAAACCACACTACATCAGCCAGAGACGGAAGAGGAGGATATTGAGGGACGCCACAAACTTTGCTTTCGACAATGACTATTGAATACCGCGAGACTCCTCAAACTCCTAACTGGCGGCCATCGAGAATGGCAGCACATGTTTCGATTTGTTCAAGCTTCGGCTGAAGCAAAACACCACGAAACAATGAAACAATCATCCTGAACTTCCGAAACCACAATTGCCGGGGTTGACCCAGAAAGTCCAGCGCAGCCTGTAGGGTTGAGCCGAGAAACTATAAAGTGCAATCTTCACTTGATAGTCAATGATAGCGCTAAGAACCTGATGGATCATACCAAGCTTCCATATCTAACGAATCCAACAAACTTCATTCTCAACGGCGATCAAATTCCTGCACGATTCGGGCAAAGTAACCGAAGCCGGTACTTCTTTAGCTGGTTGAGAACAAACTGCAATGTTGAATGTCACTCATAAACTCTGCAAGAATGCTAGCGGCCGTCGAATATGTCAAATGCATGTTTAAACCAAACACATTTCATGTCAGATTGAAAGCTGCGCTCTGCACATTCCCTGGGCTTCCACAGTCCATCCGACAAACCTGCAAAGAACTGGGCACATCGCCATGCGAAAGATTGCGAGGAGTCGCTGGATAAACTGGCGGGTGTTCGCAAACGCGAGGTAGCCGACCTGCCGTGGTAGCTGAGTCCAGTAAGCATGAATACATGCGATTTCACTTTCTCATGGTGCCCCTTTCCCATGCATGGACCTTTTTTGCCGACAGCTCGTGGCATCTGGCCGCCATGCTCCAGACTTTGGAACGGATAGGGTCGCAAACTGGCAATGCCCCATCTTTTTGGCTAACATTGCCTTCAGATGAAGAGGGAATGTACCTGGTTGGCAAAAAGGATTAACTTGAATAAGCCATACATCGCATGATGGTCTTGGATCAAAGGTCTATAAGCCCAGGACCATCTCTGGGCCAGAACCTTGCTGCTGGTTCATAAGCCCGTGTCGACACTGCCGTTGTTTGGACAATGAAACATAAAACTTGAGGCGCTTGCGTTGGTATGCTTCTCGGCTGACGACAAGATCTTTGATCACTTCGCACCTGAAAATGCAGGCACGGATACAGCATGCTCGCATGGTGCATGAAGAACAGTCAGTTTGTTGCAGAGCAGGGACTGTGCCAACAGCGATCCACCAATCCATGCCTTACTGCAGTCATTGTCGGAAATGTGCCGATGGGTGACGAGCGCATGGATTGGCTATCATGACACAAAGCCCTTTTGAGAATCGTGTCTTCTCTGCACGCGTGCGCGCAAATCCGAGATCTCCAAAACCATCTCCATGGGCTTTCAATTTTGCACTGTCATGGGCGATGCATTGCCGAAGGTGCCACGGCTGCCGCAAGGTTTGGTTGTTGTTCTATATTTGTGTTGTGAGTCTGGACAAGCACGATTTTGGAACAAGGGGCCGCTACAGTCGCACATGTGGGTTCATATTCATGTGACTTGACGTCGTGCAAAAGGTTTGAATTTTGAGCTCTGTGACAGATCCCCCCGTCCCCCCTTTTAAACTGGATTTCGCTCCCACCCGCCCCCCACCCCATGCGATGTAACCTGGGCGGGTACCCCCTCGCAAATCGTACAGGAACACAGGTGTCTCTTTTCATTACAGGCGCACAACTGTAGATCGTACTCTGCTAGAACTTTGAACAACAGGCATGGGTACATGCAAGTGGTACGTGAAACAGACAGGCACTTTCAACCAGGCACAAGTTTAAAACACGTAGGGCTGCATGGCCGTGAAGTCGGCATTCTGCATTGCGTGTTATTGCCCTTGCAAGCGAGTTAAGAGCGGGGTAAAACATAAGCTACATCTGTGATTTGCGAAAATCTGGACATCCTCAGTCTGGAGAAACCTTTATGGGTGTTCTGACTCGCAGTCAGTGTCTAATCAGTTCTTTCCTTTGAAATTGCATTTGCCCTTGGAGGACTTGCCTCCCTTGCCACCTCTTGCTTTTCCACCAGGAGGTTGCGCGCGCTCGGACGTTGTGAGCCAGAAGCAGCTGCAACAGAAACTCCCCCTCCTTGTGGAGAGCCTGTTCAAGTAGGTGCTGGCTGTGAAGGATAAACAGATCCACGTGCTTTGCTTGCTTTCTGTCTCGCCTTTCGTTTGTGAACTGCCTCCTTGACCATATCGTGATTACGGCTCATAGCTCGCATCCCTCCTCCAGTGTACTGGGTTGCACGAACCTCGATGAGGAGATGAGTGTGAGCGTCATAGTCCCGGTCTGTAAGGAGGTAAGCCGTCGAGGTGGAATTCAGAAACTATTCGGAGACGCTGATCTTGCATTCCTGCTGGCCGGAAGGAGCTTGAGCCCATTGATCGTCGTCCATTGAGTGGCCCCATGTTGGTCCTCATACTGCTTGAGGAGGCACAAACTGTTTGCCGTAACGTGCTGGGCCGAAGTGGGCTTTCCGGCCAGGCTTCCAGGAAATCATCAAGGGTGCTTTGATATATGCCACCCCTGATACGCATGGATTCTTGCTTGCGCCCTGTGGCCCGATGCCGTGCCATATTTGGGTCCCCGTCGATCAAATCGACCTGGTAATACAAGCAGTCAGAAAACATGGTGCCCAGAGCCTCGTGAGCCAGACCAACCTTCGTAGCCGCGATCACGTCTGGAAACACAGACACGGATTGTGTCGCAGCCAGCTCGGGTGCGCTTATGCGCCATGGACGAGTCAGGAAAATCTCCTCCGTTGCCTTGGCTGCCTATGGAAGAGTTTTCCCATTGGTAATTTCAACGATCATTTCGGTTAGTGGAAGATGCTTGTGGCCTACCTCCACCAGTGTTGAGCCTGCCAAACGTCGCATCTTGGACCCAACGAGATTGGTCCTGCAGCCCACGAGACGATCTCCAGCATTGTTCCGGAGGGTTCCCATCCGCGACTATGGATAAAGCTCAACTCGGAACTCGAGATGAAGAGGTGTGCCTTGGCTTGAGCGATACTCTTGATGAGTGCTCCATGGCTCTCTCCGGTGCTGTCGTAGTCGATGCGATCGGCATATGTGGAAGGAGCCGAGCGCTTACGACCACGAGAGGCTCCCAAGATTCCAGATTCAGAATGAGCGCGGAGTATTTTGTCTCGCTGCTAAAGACAAGCCAAAACGATGAAGAAGAAGACTCGGCATCTTATCAAGTGATAAGTCCCCGAGCCGCTCTGGTTCACCTCCTTGACTCTGTCCAAGAGTGCTTCCTGGACCTCGAGAGCGCAGGCTCTGATACGCGAGGCCTTCTCCATCAGCTGGTCGTTCAGAGTTCTTCTTACTATCACAGAAATCATTGAACTCTGCGGTGTCTTCGAGGCCTTCCTTTCCCTTCATGCCCTTCAAGTTGTCGAAGGCAGTGCCAGGCAGTCTCATTCTTCTCTTCGGCACTGGCGGCTGTGCCTTGAAACCCTCCTTGAACGCCTCCAGTACAATCGTATACGACACTGACGAGAAGGACGAAGTCGTCCCTGACACGCTGGATCTCGCGGCACACATCCCTATTCTTTGAAGAAAGCACTGTACGCCGCGAGCTTCTCCGCATAGTCGGGATTGTCGACCTTTGGCGTCCTGCCGTCCGGGTTTCCTCTTCCGAGACTTTTGGAGCAACTCCGACTTCTGAGCTCTGGAACCCATCGTACGTCAAAGCAGGGAACGCTCCACATGAAGATTGGGTGCGCTCCACTTTATTCAGTCGTCGACGCAGGGCTGCTGTTGCCACCGTTCCTGGAACACTCCCAGGTAATCACACTTTCGTCTGCAAGACTGGCTGCAAAAACTTTTCGCGTTGACACACTAGGAGTAGGCTCAAGGGTTTCTCACGCGGCCAGGAGTTCAATCCTGAAATCGGAACCCCAATTGCGCTTGCATGTCCTGGTCTGGGTTCAGACCCTTTGCGCGAACATCATTTTTGGTTTTCCATGGACGTCCGTGCCCCGCTCAAAAACCCTTTGCGTGCCCTGGTCTTACCCCAGACCAAGACATGCAAAACAGTTTTGGTTTTCCAGGGTTCCTGGCCCCGCTCAACAACCCTTTGCAAGTCCTAGTCTGAACCCACACCAGGACACGCAAATCAGTTTTGGTTTTCTGCGGGGGTCCGGGCCCCACTCAAAAACCCTTTGCATGTCCTGGTCTGACCCCCGGCCAGGACACGCAAATCAGCCTTGGTTTTTTATGGGGGCCCGGGCCCGGCTCAAAAACCCTTTGCATGTCCTGTCCTGGTCTGACCCCAGACCAGGACATGCAAGTCAAATTCTGTTTTCCACGCGGGGTCCCATCCGGGGCACCACTCAAAAACCCCTTTGCATGTCCTGGTCTGAACCCAGACCGGGACATGCAAACTTCACAATTCTCACAACCGCATTTCTTCAGAATGGCGTTAGCTGAAAAACCAGAAACAGGCCACGCAGAATGCAGCAGCACACTGCATTCTGCGTGTCCTGGTCTCCTGGTCTGACCCCAGACTAGGACATGCAGAATTGTGCTGAACCCCAGGCCAGGGTTTTAGTGGCAATCTACGGGGCTGGATACACGTAGAACCCTTTGGTCTGGGATCGTGGCAAGATCTGCATGTTCCAGTCTGAACCCAGACCAGGACATGCAGAATTGGGCACCCGCGATTCTGCATGTCCTAAATCCTGAAAATGAAGAGCGAAAATCGATTTTGCATGTCCTGGTCTGGGTTCAGACCAGGACACGAGAAGGCTTCTTGAGCGGGGCCTGGACCCCCGTGGAAAACAAACACTGATTTGCATGTCCTGGTCTGGGGTCAGACCAGGACATGCAAAGGCCTGGTCTGGGGTCAGACCAGGACATGCAAAGGGTTGTTGAGCGGGGCCAGGAACCCTGGAAAACCAAAACTGTTTTGCATGTCTTGGTCTGGGGTAAGACCAAGACACGCAAAGGGTTTTTGAGCGGGCGCGGACGTCCATGGAAAACCAAGAATGATGTTCATGCAAAGGGTCTGAACCAAGACCAGGACACGCAAGCCCGCATGAGACATGAAAACTAGGCGTTCGTGCGTTGGTCTTGGGCCAGACTTGGACGTTCAGCCTGGGCAGAACAGGGAGAAGGAGGGATCATGATCAGGAGTCAGGGGGCAGCAGCACGGTTGTCGGTTTACTAGTGTGAGGGAAGGGGGGCGACGGGCGACAGCGCAGGGCTCTCCTGTGCAACGGCGGATGCAAGCCAGCCTAGAGTGCAACCGAACAACCCCACGAAAGAAACCCGACCAATCTCGCCCAATCTCGCAAACAAGGTCCAGGCCGACGTGTGAAAATGATGAGGTCCAGCCTGGGCAGCATAAAGAAATAGGAGGGGTCAGGAGGACAGGAAGCGAGCAAGAGGACGACGAAGAGGCACACAACACAAGTGGCAGGCATTCCTACGGGGTTCGACGGGGTTCGGGCGCCCTGAAAACTTAGGGGTTTGGGAAAATCGGGGCTTAGGGGGCTTGGGGGGACTGCAGCAATCCACGCAGCCCTCCAGTATTTACAACCAAGGTCAGCGAGATCAGGATTCAATTGATCCATCGGCCAAAGCAAAAGCGGCTCAAAAAATAGCATGCCACGTTGGATACGCTGGACTCCGCTGGACAGTCTTATACAGTCTTCAGCTGCTCTTTTGCAGCATTGCCGTCGCCACCCAAGCTGTGGTCGCCCCAGTGCCCAGTGCCCCAGTTTGCAGAACCAGCATATCAAGAGTCCCTTGACGATCTGGCCCTTTTGTTGGTCGGTGGCGGCGGCACAAATGACAGGTCACAGTCCTCGGGAGGATCACCGTAGTCCAAAACTGCAGGGCCCAGTTCATAAATGGTCGCCTTGTACTCCGCACACAAGAAAACTCTGCTGTCAAGAGCCCGCCCTACTGCTTCTGCAATCTCCTGGCCTCTTGGCACCCGCATCCACATCGCTGGAGTTTGCATATGTCTTTCGACCGGTGCCTCCACCTGTATGGAGCGTACCAACGGGTACCGCCGCAAGTGTGAAGCTTCCCGTTTTCCCGGAAGCTCCGCTACCAGGTTGAAATGTAACCTGGGCGTGTATCCCGTCACAAAACGTACAGGAACACAGGCAACGCAGGAGTCTCTTTTTGCTACAGGCATGGATACATGCAAGTGATACGTGAAACAGATAGGNNAACATTCAGTGTTTCACCCCGCGCCCCACCTCTACTCCCTCTACCCCCTTCGCTCCCTCATGTCTTGCTTGGGCGGGCGAAGCAACCCAATGCCTGCCAAAGCCTGGGAATTCTGGGGTACTTTGCTGCAAAGCTTGATTCCCCATTCCCCTCAACATATGGCAGGGTGTATTGAGAAGTGTACTACGATTTTTAGAGTAACGTCTATAGGATAATGCAGGGTCTGTGTCACCTTTCGCATGGGACAATTTTTGCAGAGACTCAGCATAAAAACAAATACTGACATTAAAAACACTTTGGCGGCCGGAGATGCAAGAATGTTTCTGCATCTCGGGCAGCCACCCCTGCATGTCGGCCTACTACTATGCTATTTTTTGTGCTGCTTCACTAGTGCTATTTTTTTTCTACCCCATTCCACATACAGTACTGCCGTGGCCGATGTTTGGGATTGGCAGCCGGATATGCAAAAAAGTTTTTGCGCCTCGGGCAGCCACCCGTCCATGTCGGCGCTGTACTAAGTTACTGTTTTACCGTTTCATTCCACATACAGTACTGCTGCGGCTACCATTTAATTTACTGCCACGTGCTACCACGTACTACCAGGTGTTATCAGGTGTTACCGAGTACTACCCCGCACTACCACGTACATACTACGGTATACATTCAGAACGAAGCTGTTGCATCTCGGTCAATACTGCCGTGGCCGATGTTTGGGCATGGCAGTCCGAAATACAGAGACAGTTCTGGCATCTCGGGCAGCCAACCTCCAAACATCGGCCTTGGTCCTAAAAGATTTTTGGATCTTCAGGATCGTCATTCGGTCGGCTTATGTGGTTGCAGATCGGAGCCGCGAACTCAAGCGTCCAAGTCAGAACGAGGACATGTTGGGCCAACTGGGCGCTGATGTTCGAGGCATGCACCGTCAGTGCATTGATGTGCCTTGCTGCGCACCCACGTGTGCGCGATTGCACAACAACATTGCAAGGAGTCCGAGGCGTGAACTTCACAGTGCCAAAACTGTCTTACATGTCTGTGGCTGGTGCTTGAATCGATCCAGGTTCTGGCGCACAAACCTGCATTTCACGTTTCACGAGAGCGTGCTGGGATATGCTGGCGAAAGCCGCACAACGCAGCACAGCCTTGACAATTTCTTGACTTTGGCCGGGTGCCACCCAGCGGCTGCAGTGCCTCGAAGAAGGAAACGGCTGATGCGAGCTCTCAGCAACAGACCTCGTCATCCTGCAGTCTTAAATCCTTGAATTGCCTTAGCCTTAGCCTTAGCATGTCCTTTGAAAAACACTGGAGCAGGGCCAAAGGCTGGTCAGATTTGGTTTCATAGAGCGCCTGATCTCGGTAGCCAGTCGCTCTTGGAGACCTGGCAACTGCGACATGCCTCCAACGAGTATAACGTTCTGCAGAAGCTGACCACGAACGTTGATGTTGCTCTGCAGCCGCAAACTTGCCAGCACCATCTCCGGCAATGTCTGCGATTTCTGTGGCATCGTGTCAGCACCAGGCACTCGACAAACGGTCGGGTCGAATAAAGACTCTGCGCATCTGAAGCCTTCTCCTCGGCTGGCCTGAAAAATACAGCGATTGCCTGTGCCCACAAAGTGGCACATGCTTGGCTTTGGTGGCTGCTTTGGCACGTCCATTCGCTTCAAGTTCTGCAGTTCAAGGGTGAAGTCTTGTGCCACCCAAGCCAACTGCTCTTTCGCTATTTTCCCAGCTTCAGCTCCAGACAAGCCGTCGGGCAGCACAGCGCCGGCATCTTGGAGGAGCTGGAACATTGCCATATCCAGTACGTTTCCCCCCACGGAGCTGTGCACGATGCACTCGGTCAACGGATAGCCATCTTCCACTGGTGTCACAGTCGTTCCTGTTGCACCGATATCTACGACCAATGCAGTCGAACTCCGGGCTGCAAGGCCAACCAGAAATGCTGAACTAACCAGGCAAACAGATTTCGCTGCGAAGTCTTCGAAGAGCAATTGGCAGATGCTTTCCTTCGTCTTTCTGCACGTCCATACAGGCACCGAAATGATCAAGTCCTGGGCTCTTTGCCCTATCAGAGAATGCCAAAAACGAGCATCTCGCAAACAATCCTGGAAGCTGAACGGACACTCCTTAACAATGCCAGGCTTTGAATCCATGCAATGGCCAGCTTTGAAGCTGTATGCGCCGCAGTCTACCACAGTAGCCATTTCGGCAGGAAGCAAGCAACATGGCGCTACACGTCTCCTGCTGGCTTCGGCTGGTCGTGGTTTACGATGGGTTAAAGCACCAGAGCAAGCATGAGTTGTCCGAAAACACGAGTCCTGTCGCAAGCCCCGACAAAAGTCACTATGTTCGAGTGTTCAGTGGCTCTTGTTGCTGCCTTCGATAGTTCAAGAGTCCCCTCACCTCGAGTCCTACAGATGCTGAGCGATCACACCACTGGGAAACTGTGTGGAGTTGCTGCCCAAATCTTGGTCATGATGCTTTTAACCACTGGAAAATCTGCACGGTTGGGAGCAGGAGGCTTTCATCCTTTCAAGAGTTGTCTAGCAGTACGAGTCTTCAGTGTCAATGGCTCAGGGCTTAGGGATGATTGATGATCTCCTCACACGCGGCGCGCTCTGTAAGACCCGCTTGCAAAGAGTCGTTGTCAAGGGAAGCCGGTGCTGCGAAAATCAACGACAGCATTGGTGCCCAGTAGGAGACGTCCACAGGAACCTTAGCTCACAAAATGGCGACACCGACAGCAGTCCAGACAAGCACCTGCCTTATGCAGAAGGAGTCACAAACATGTCACAAAGACTCAGATGCTCGCTCGGAGGTTTAGGAGAAGGATCGTCAACAACCTGGAAGGATATCGGACGCCCTGTATTCGGATCTTGCCAAGCCGGCCTGGTCGCAGGATCCTCGGCCTGTGCGCTGCCGCGCCTCAAAAACTGTTTCGTGGTTTGGCGACTCATGCATACTGTCACAAAGGGTCAGTCCAGCGTCCTGCCTAAGCAAGAGATTGAGGGAGGACCTCGCTCGTTGAGACACTTTGCCAGTCAAGTAGCAGGTTTGTAAGGCCCAGACATCAGTATCTTGTACACGCCTCAGGGAAATGAATCCTGCTTGCTTTCGCTGCCGTCTTCTGGAGCTGTGAAACCGCCGCCGAGGCTCATATGGCAGAACAGCACCGCCCCAAAACATTCATGACCTGGCATCTAAGTGTCACCATGTCTGGTGGCTCCCATGTCTGCGCGCTCAGATTCCACAAGCGAGAGTAGGGCTGCCCTGCCAAGCATAGTGCGGGCTTTGAGCTCGCATAGGCGGGCCTTGTCAAGCGAGATATCGAAAAAACTGCTTGGCTCATCTCATTGCTCGCTGCTCACGTCATGAGGACTGAGGGTGAAAGGGAAAATGTGTCTGTGAGAGAGTGAGAGGTGGGGCGTGGGGAGTGAGCAGTGCGAGGGAGAGAGGAGTGAGGAGTGAGGATGAGGCCCCCAAGCATGGCCCCAGCAAGCGAAGCTGCGAGCCACGATACCTTCTCGGCCTAGTCTCAAGGTAGCTCAGGGCCTCCACTGAATCTTCACACCCCGCCCTTTGAAGGGAGCATCCAACATGAGTCACTCCTGTCAGACCGTGCCCAAACGTGGGTTGTGGTCGGCATAGCACACGGGGTGAGGAAGAAGATGAGGGTGAGCCGGCTCTCGCTCGTGAGCGGCTCGCTGCTGTGCCATTTAAGCCGAATTGGATGAGAACTTTCGTCTGATCTAGATCTTTGCAAGAGTCTCCAGAGGGAGATCTCGGGGTCGCTAAGCCCCTTCTCCACTCCCGGGGCTGTTCATTGGCTGGTGGCGGCTGTGGAGCAGACCGTCTGGACAAGCTCTTCGATCGGGGACTGGTTGCTCTAAGATGTCTCACAGTACGTAGCCTTTTGATGGGGACTCTGTTCAATCCTGCGAGATGTCGGCAGCTGAAGCTCATAGCGAGTTGCATGCTGACGTGGAAAGAGCGCTTCCCGACACCATGCGGGGCCAGGCATCTCAGGTGCTGAACACCCTACAACTGCAAACTAACCCCTCCCCCCTCCTGAATGAGCTCGTCCAGCTCTACGAACAACTCACGGCTGAAGGCTTCGAGCGCCTGGTCAGAGCACGAGAGCGGCGTGAGATTGGCGTGAGCAACTCCTAAAGAATTGGCCTGAATCTCGGTGCTCAGCTGTTTTCGAGTGGCTGATCCTAAGGGGGGACACGACGACATGAAAAAGGTGCCAGGCTATGACATGTGGCCTCCACGGACATTCAAGCCCAGGGCCTGGCAACGCCAAAGAGCAAAAGAGGAGCACGAGCTCTGGAGAGGCATAGCGCGCCTCCAGTGAGAGCAAAGGCCTCTGCACCAGTTGGGCCACCTCGGCCACATTTTTCGTCTGGCTCTTCAACTCAATTCAACAGTTCTGTCTGATCGCGGAACATGCTGAATCATCCTGCGCTTCGGAGCAGGTGTTGAGAAGCTCACGCGCCCAACAATGGAGAGTGGTTCCTCCCTGGCGCTCAGTCGGCTCTCCTCCTCCGACAAATCAGGCCGATGGCGAATCATTGCAACCCGAACGCAGATGGAAGGTGTCCTGCTTCAAGGTCAGCTCCTGCCGCTTTCTTGCCGAGATTAACCTCATGGTCCTCCACCAGGAAGCAAAGGCGCTTTTAGTCCAGACCATCGGCTGAGAACTCGTCAGAGTGCCTTAACAAGCGCTGCTCAACATCCGCGACCTGGGAGGACCATGTTGACAGTAATTCAGATTGAGACTTTCTAGGACCCGAATACGCACTTGCCTGCTGCTGTGTGACAGGTCGAAGGAACGAGTGCATGCTTTGGAAGGGAAAGTTCACGGCCTATGGTCCCGGCAGTTGCTTCGACCACGAACTGCTTTTTGTTCCGCACAAAGCTCAGGTTGAGACACCGAAGCCACTCAATGTCGCCACAACCGTGACTCCTAACACTCCGATACCTGGCCATGAGATTTCGTCCGAGAAGTTGCGAATCCACCAGACACTTATCCTACAACATCCGAGAATGTGTCCGAAATACGGCCGGGGATGCGAGCCATCAACAGGTCGGCAGAGAAACTGACCTTGGCACCACGATGGGTGCGGTCGGCAACTCGCTGCTTCGGTGCTTGCACGCTTTATCCCTTGAAATCTCATACTGCCACCTGTCGGGAACTAAAGTTCCGGAGTCTGAAAGTTTGTAATGTAGAAGGGCTTGGCAAAGCACGGCATTCTGAGACACCAGCAGAGTCTATGTGAATCAACCTGTTCCGGCTGTGATGGTGGGCTGGACAGCACGAATCATGCACTGGCCTGAAGCCATCTGAGCCCGCCACCGACCCGAGATGTATATCGCGTACCTGCGCAAACCGACGGTGACAAGGAAAGAACTAAGTCTGCCCAGGCCCAGGAACCAGAACGGAGGTAGCGAAAGGACGGCCGAAGCGAAGGCCTCGGAGGCGTGACGGTCTGTGATGTGCACGGGAAGGTTGAATCGTCGGCGTTTGCGACCGTCACTTCTGGGGGCTGGGTCTGCCTGTTCCTGTGACATACATTCTCGTCTAGACAAAAGCCTGCAGGCTAACAGCTTCAAAGCGCCCTTTGCAGAACAGTGGCAGAATGCAGAAGTGCCTGGTCCAACATGACATCAAGGTGCCCCCTCGAGACGTGAAAGCTCCGGTAAGCTGGTCGCGAGACGGTGAGAGCCGTAGCAAATGGATCGCACAGATGTCCACACCTCAGCTGCAAGGGAACGAAGGCTAATCAGGCTAATCGCCCCAGCAATCTCGGAGCAGCTGGGCGGCAGGCAAAGCATGCTGGCAAGGCAACATAGGCAAGCCAAATTAGCGTCCAGTGATCCACCTGCCGACGCAAGCAACACTCAAGAGGATTGCCGCTTGCCGTGACAAGTACTGTTTCAGAGAGTTGTACAGCAGACTTGAAGAATCCCAGCACAAGTTTACCGTCGTTTGCCTGCAGTTTGCAGACAGGTTCCAAGCCGCATCCCTCCATCACTCCGCACTGCAGGGAGACTCAAATCTGGCCCTCCAGCGAAATCGTTGAAGATCCGCAGCTCCCTTTTAAGCAGGGAGGATACCAAACACGCGATCTTGGCACAGTACAGAAAACTTTCCTGCTGATTGCAAGGCTGCGACGCGGCTGATCTTACGTTGTCGAGTTGGGAAATGGCAGAACTGCGCAGACGGGCATCATGGAGGCACGGCAGGGCTTGGGGATGTTTAGGCTCGAGGAGAAAGTTATGGCTACTCTGACCAGTTATCTCGATTGTAGGGGCTGCCGCACCCCAGCCCGCTGGCCTTCCAAGCCACAGCACGGACATCCGGATCCAGAAATCCAGCCACCGTGGCCAACATCAGCTCAAACCTCGAAGGCGAAGGCGATCCATCAGAATTTCCCCTAGGGCCCAAGACACCGGCATAGAGGAAGATGCTGCGAAGGTTGCCTGGCTCCGCTCGAACCAGTGCACATGCAAACTTGCTGTCCAGCACTGCAAATGGCAGTCCCACGGCGAAAAGAAGCTGGATGTATCGCTGCTTCACCTGCATATGCTGCATATCGACGATGATTGTTTCGAGGCAATCTTGACAGCACGAGGCTTATTTAGCACTCGCTTCTGCCAGGGACACGACCTCGTAGTCTCGGTACAGAAGCTTTGCAAAGAACCTGAGCACGATTCAATGTCACGACATGATGGTGGGCTTTAGCTAAATTCGCTTGGTCTCTGGCCAATTGGCTGAAGCAAACAGCAGCACATGGGAGGCTACGAGAAAACACGCCTCGCGAGCGAGCGATGGTGCTCAAAGTACGGTGGCGATCAAATTTTAGACTCCAACTCCAAGTAAACCGGTGGGAAGTTTACATTGGATCTGTGGGACAAGCTCGACAGACGGAAGCTGATGCTCGTGCAGTAAACCCCACAGGCTACCCTTCACCGGAAATCCGGCAAGTCACTACAAGAAACTGATGCTCCTGCCGTGGCCTTGCAGGCCCACTGCTAACCCTCTGTCTGGCTGTCGGCCGCACCTCACTTCGCCACCAGCTGTCGCGCTGAGCGCCATTCCTTGCATCCCGCCAGGCGAACCCAGACATCGGCGCAAGTCAAAATGTGCAGATACAGTCAAATCGATCATGCCTTACAGTTACAAGCGACCCTTGTTGCGTCACAACAAGATAGCTGCAAGCAGTGTCTGCTCTCAGCTCAGGCGCTGTACAGTCTCTGCAACAGCAAGCGCTATCTGGCTTGACCAGGTTGTGGTCTCTGCCTGGAAGCGACAACTCGACAATGACTGTCCGAACAGCAGATCAGCAGCCTTGACAGCCACATCGATGTTCGACGTCTGATCCGGCATGCCTCACCAGCCTGTGCACTTGCAACTCCGAGCCTGCTGTTGGAGTGTGTTGCCTGGTGTGAAGCTTCACTGCACTGCTGCTCTTCCTGATTCCAGAATTTCATGATGCTTCCTTAAAAGTTTCTTCCATAAAGTTGCTCTACGGGGGCTCGTCATGACGCGAAATTGAGCATACGACATAGGCAGCGAGCAAGGTTTGCAACCAATCCCCGCGACAGGCCACGACGAGAACCAATTAGATCACTAACGAGCACAACACGTGATCCGAGACGCATTGTTTTCAAATTACTGGGCGTGGAACAGTGTTGTGTGTCATCACATGCGCTGAAGCCTAGCCCTCCAGCTATGCATGTCCATCGTGTGCTGGCATTCTGCCGCATGATCGCAGTAGTCTGAAATGGCGCCCTTCAGCAGCCAACGCAAAACCATCGACAAGAAACAGCAATGCTTCTAGTATAGAAACTACAATATAATGCGAATCATAAGGACACAGTCGTTTACAGAGCCCGCGACACATTTGTGCAAACTTAGCGGGGACCTCTGCAAGGAGGTTACGGTTGTGGTCAATGCCAGCTGCCATGTGTTCGCGACTCAAACTATTGCTTGCCAGTGCATTCTGAAGGGTTTGTTCAGGTCAGCGAACCTCATGACAGGCTAGCCTAGTTTGGCGTACTGCATCACTAAAAGGAGGTGACGAGAATCACCTCACTGATGCGAGTGGAAGTAACAGCCCCGGCTTTATGCTGTTTTTTCTAGGGCCACGTGCCACGTGAGCTACAAGACAGCACTGTCTCCTTGTCATGCCAGGGCTCGGATGGGGCAAGAGAAGTGCAGAGGCTGGGTCAATAACATAGGATCTTCATAGTTGAAACTGAGGTCACGTGGAAGATGCTCATCGCGAGGCGCTTGGCTGCAAATTCTGCAGTGCTGCCCAGCTGAGCATTCGAGAAGAATTGCCAAAGATTGATCCAAGCCATTGGCACATCAAGCTCTGGGCAATCAGTTCAGAGTGAGACACCGGCACGAGACAAATCATTATAAAAATCTAGAGCTGTAGGGGCATCAAGCACTGGCCCCAACAGACCACCGGCTGTGGGCTTACATTATTCATTGGACAGTGGCCTGCAGGGACTGACCCGGGGCCCACGCACATAAAATCGTGCACTAGATTAGTCTTGTCTTGAAGATGCTTTTATCCGGAGTAAAACTTCGCGTGATAGCTGCAAATGTTGCCCAGTTGGTGAAACACAACCGGCCGGCGTCAATTGCGCTTTTGGCCAAACTTCCAAGTGCGCGCCATGCCTGGGGAAGTCTTGCCCGCAGAGGAGCTTGGCTTGCAAAGCTTCACGCCAGGTCAAAACAACCTTACCTTCAACGACTGCTAGTGGTACGCTAGTGATACGGTGTAATGGTGCTGCTACTACTTCTTCGCCTTCTACCGCTACTACGACCAGTACCCTGTACTGACTTTACTAGTACTACTACGACGACTGCGACGACTACTACGATGGCGATGAGCACGACGACGACCACCACAACAACAACGACAACAACAGCAACAACAACAACAACCACAACAACAACTACTACTACTTCTATACGTACTACGACAGATTCATACTACTACTAACTACTACTAACTACTACTACTACTACTACTACTACT